GATTAATTAATTATTTAGTCCCCAGAGAAATAGATTTACAGTTTGATCAGGTAAAAAGGTAAGATCAAATGCTAGTATGTGTTATTATAGTTAAAGACAATGCCAGTGTTTTAGTTTAGTTGCGTGCCATTTACAGGACGTTTGCAGAACCAGACACAACATTATATTTTTTGGGGGGGGGGGGGGGGCTGTTGTTATTTTTACGTTTAGTAGTTCGCCATTGCTTCTTAAACAGTCAGCTCTTAGTACCACTGTCGAAACCGACGTAAGACAAACCGTCCGCAGCTGGGATCGAACCCGGCATTTCAAAGCGCGTTCGCCACGCCTAAGCCACAGACGCCGGCATTTTGATTACTACTGTTGAAAATAGTATCTATCTTGCAAGTAAAGTTGAATAAAGGACTTGTTCCCCACGCCATTAGACCTATTGGGCATATAGGGTTAGACCTTCATTTTATAGCCCAGTCGACACTCTCTGGGTGATGTGGCCAACAACATCACACCGTCCGCCTTTACTTTCCAGGACTTTCAATTGTACCCATTTTAGGCTGTGTCCACACACGAGCAAGTGGAAACAAATATCCGTTTAAATTCAAGACCATCGTACCCACGTGCAAGCGTCTAGCCGCTACACCGCGGAGGCACCCGTTACCAACAAGCAATCTAAATATAAATAAAAATGTCTACCATCGCCGTGGTGGGCTTTGGAAGTTGATTTAGGCAAATTCATCTCTGAACAGATCTCGGTCTTTGGTGTTCTAAAAAAAAAAAGAACACATGAGGGTGGAAAAGAAGGTTATGGGGGGGGGGGGGTAGGGGTTGGTCCCTTTACACATTTTTTAGGGTTTCGGGTAAGGGGGGCGGGCGCACCTAAAGCTTGTTCTAGTGATTAACAATAACAATCATGGGCTAAACATATTACATTCGAAAAGCAGTAGAGAGAAAAAAGTGTGTGGGGCGGGGGGGGGGGGGGGATAGTAAGGGGTGTTTAGCCTTTCACCGATGGGAGGAAGTTGACTAAGCGGCACTCTCAGTTGTTTGGGTGTGTTGGAGGCGTGGCTCTGTGGCTAAGTCGATGCGAACGCTTCGTATTGCCGGGATGCCGGGTTCGATCCCAGCTGCGGGCCATGCGCCTTGCTTTGGTTTCGACAGTGGTATCAAGAAAGCAGACCGTCCAGAAGCAATGGCAAACTACTAGACATAAATTTAACTAAAAAAACCACAAAACAACCAGGGGCTGTTGGGGTTGTTTCTGCAATCCTGTAAAGGATACGCAACTAACCTGTGTTGGAGGCTTCCTGTGACTCAGCTCGCTTATGAGATCCCTCCATGCCATCGTCTATGATCCCCCGCGTCTTTTGTGTCAGCCTGCTTCTGTATCTTCTACCTCAGATCCCGCCGGTTGTGACCAGATTCTCACCAGTCTATCACAGAAAGCTCCGTGGTAAAGTGGTCAGGCCGTCTGTCTCACTTTCCTCAGTGAAGGTCGCAGGTTCGATTCACGGGTGCCTAGTTCGGTTCACCTGTGTAATTTTTATGAAGATTCACAGGAAATGTCGCCGGAGTTCCGGAGTTCTTGCTTTCTGCGAAAATCTCGGCATACGGCAGAGAGACTTAGTAACATGAAAACTCATTTTGATACTTTCAAGTTATTCCATATTCAGTCATTCAAAACCGCGAATTCACTGTAATATAGTAGTTCACTTGTATGCAGCAATTCGGTTCTCTCTTTCAGATTTCATTACAGTTTAGTAAGCTATCATAAAATAGATTCTTCATCTGAGAAAGGGTTCAGGGAGAGAGACAGACAGACAGATATACAGACAGACTGACAGACACAGAGAAAAGTAGAGAGTGAGAGAGAAGAACTTTAGGATATAGAAAGGTTGTCGTTCAGATATTGCAATGTCTTGGAAAATTGAAAAGGTAAAAAGGACCTTTTCCCACTCCTTGAGCCGTAATGGGCATATAGGGCTAGACCTTTATTTTTCTTCCCAAGACTGTTCCTGGTATTCATTTAAGGCTGGATCAACCTGTTGGCGAAAGTCATTTCTGAAGGAAACAAAAGCCCGATTACCTTAAGGACTGAGCCCACGACCTTGGATGCACAGCTGAGTGTCTAGCCGACGCACCACGGGGGCTCCCCATAGTGAAGTTGCTTCATCGTAATATGTCTTTCTGTTTTTAATTTCCATGTTACATTTCACAGCTTTAATACATTTCACATAAACCTGTATATTTCACCATGATCATGGCTGGTACCACCCAAGGCTGTTCTTCATCTGCATGTGTCATATCCGGAGGAGTCCATTATTCTAGCGATTGTAAATGTGATTTTACAGGACTTTCGCTTTTCTGGAACTTTACGACGCATAACATTTCATTAGCTGCAAAACTGCAAGAGAATCACGCCAGTTTTCTAACAATGATAGATAGCCATCTGTACCCAAGTCTTGCACTTACTGTTTGGACAACACATTCTGGATTATTATAAATTTTAACACTCATCCCTCTGGATACGAGATTAGTTCTCACACACTTAGGCACTAGGATCAAACAAAAACAAATGAGTTTCATTCATTTACCACACACACTAAACCGGAAAAACTTTACTGTGACATCCATAAAGATAACGCTTTGGTCGCGATTGCCGTTCCAAACTCCGGATGAGAAAGTAGTAGGGTTGGTTGCCGGCTCTCTCATCCTGCGAACAAATTATTTGCTATAGAAACTTGCAGGAAATGAGCACTGAAACGGGAAATGTTGAAACTGATAAAACCAGGGAAACACTAAGGCGGACTTTGATGAGAGAAGCCACAAGTGCTGGGTTGGATTTCATGCATGACATCGAAGTGATTGCAGAGAATATAACAGAATGGATAAATAGACCGCGAGCCCTATGTGATAAATGATGGCCCTATAGGACAATGAATAAATGAATGAATGAGTGAATTAATAAATGAATTGGAGGTTCAACCGATACAACTATCGGTGTGGACAAGCGCGTTTATTGATATTCTCGCCCGGCTCTCTAACGTAGTTGGCTAAACCGGATTGCGCGGTGACCGGGTGACGAACTCCTTGTGGTCTGGGTTCACTCCCGGGGGTAGGCAGAAAAGACACATTTTCTCCCAGATTTACGATATTTACAATGGAATCAAGGCCGAAAGGTTGCGATATCCATAATACAGAGCCTAAGGGTTAACAACTCATGGCTTCTGGATACTAAAACAAACAACAAACATGGATATTCTCCAGCGGCTCTCTATTTATATGACAATAAACATATAATATCAAAATTGTGAAGACGATGATATCGTCAATAATGAATGAGTATAACTTACATCTATTTTTATGCATTCTGTAATCTTATATGCATACAGTTCCTCCTATATTAAAATGTTTATTATCGGTTCTATCATACCAGTTTAAATTTCACCATAGCTTTATAGCAATCACAAATAATGGGGCCTGTTGGGATTTAGAAGTGATCCGATCCATCACTGAATAATAGAATATCTCAGGCACCACGTAAACAAAGAATTCAATCCTTTAGCGGTGTTCCCGTCCGTATCAGTCAATCATAAGGATATTGAATAATTATAGCACAAATCTGCCAATCTCTGTTATGTAGAAGCTTTTATACAGTTTTCAGTCTGTGAGCATGTGTGTGTGCGCGCGTGTATGTGTGAGTGTGTGTGTGTGTGTGTGTGTGAGTGTGTGTGTGTGTTATCAAAATCAGCAAACCTCAATGTTACTCGAAAGGCGATCGAGTTTGTGGTTATAAAGTGGTCGTCGACTTGATTAAAAAAACTGAGTAAGCCTAGAGAAGATGCAAGCACTGGAACTATCTGACATCTTCGTCTGAGGAAGATAACGGAGAATTCCAAATATCGACACAAACAAGGAAAGATTAACCAAGAAAAGTTCAATTAATAAATAAAAATGGCAAAACAATGGCAAAAGTCAATCCAGGAGAATGGAAGTAACTTTAAAAAAAAATATATAGCCAAAAAACACAACAATGGGAAAGGAAAACAGCTTCAGAAACGCAACAAAAAAGTTTCATCTTGTCTTTATCAGCACACATAACAAATGCACAACGCAGGCCCGACTTACATTCGGCCTTCCAGGTATTTATGTTTTAGACGGCAGTTGCACTTTATATATCAAGCATAATATGTTAACATGTCGAAATTCATTGTATTTACGTAATTAGGAATACAAAGGCATGAATGATAAATGCATAACTTCAAATATACATTTAAAAAAAATTACGCATCGCAGACAGACGCAAATTACAAAAACCCAGAGGGGCACACATTGATGACACACATACACAAAATAAACAAGCATACACAGAATCAGGGACAGAACTCACAAACAAATCAAATCAGACAGACAGCAAACAGCAGTATTTCTATAGTTCTTCATTATATGACACTGAAAAAAAAGAGATAAGAGTGATTTTCGCCTAGTAAAAATGCAGCCAGATCAAAGCGTACAGGAGACCTTCTACAGCAGCATCTGGGCAGAATACAAGGCGGGTGAATGGAGGGAAAAACAAGGAAGAGATGGATCGACAGTGGTAACTTAGCTCTGGAAAAACGAGAGACGAATACAATCATCACCACCCAAAACTACCTAAAAAGACAATTGCAAAAACGCAAAACTACGACACTAAGCTGGAACTTGGTTTACAGTGTGATAACAAAAGAAAAATAGAAGGTGCATCTCCTGTTTACTTTTCGATGCCAATGTTTAATTACGTAAAAAAAAAAAAGTAAGTAAAGGTCCCTTATCCACGCCTTTCGGCGTATAGGGCATATGGGGCTAGATGTAATTTTCATTATTGAACAATCATAACTAAGTAAGTGGTAACACGTAAAACTGCTGAAATGAAATCATTTTTTTTCCCCCACAGAATCATGAAGCGTAATTTGCTCACACAAACTTGTTATGTTACAACAAGCAGGAGGTGGCGTGAAGCACTCACAGTAATGATCCGACTGAAGACTACAACAGCGAGTCTTCGAGACAACCAAGAAATTAATTACAGAAAACAGATTCCAGACACAGATATGTCTCCGGGTAACGAATACGCCTCTTCTGTTAGACCACTTCCGTTTAGCTCTATGCCAGGACCTAGAGGCCTGAGAAAACTGCCTTATATTGGCACCGCACTTTTGTTTAAACCTTTCAGCAGGTTCACCCCAGAGACATTTGGAGAAATGGTTAGTTACATGCATGACAAGTATGGGTGTATCTTCAAATCTAGACTGGGGAAGGACTATTCCGTATACACAGATAACCTGAGGGATATAGAAACTATTTTCAGGACAGAAGATACCTACCCACTGCGCCGACTGATGACTTTAAGCAGAGTCTTTAGAGAAAGAAACGGCCTGCCTCACGCTCTTGGCACGGTATCTGGACCTGAATGGTACGAGCTAAGAAGCCCTCTCAATCCCTTGCTGAACCGACCTCAAGTATGTCTGCATTATCTGCCTGCCCAGAACCAAGTAGCTGATGATTTTGTGAGTCGTCTTCAAACAAATGTCTTCAGTCCTGAACAACTGTCAGAGGAGTTTTTCAAATTCGCAGCTGAAAGTATTGGCATCGTTTGCTATAACCGTAGGTTGGGTTTTCTAGAGCCTGTTCTTTCAGCAGAAAGGGTACAGTTATTGGAGTCTTTTAAAATAGCACTTCACTGTACATTTATAGCAATGATGGGACTTGAACGACGTTACCTGAAAACTGCAGATGATGCATTTTATCGTCAGTACGAAGATGCCATGAAATTTATTAGAAATCAGTCAATGCTTTATGTCGAAAAGGTTAAAGAAGAGCTCAAAGTCCGGCCTTTTGGAAATGATAAAAATGACACTAACGCTGGTAACAAAGCACGTGTGGAATCTAACCTGCTTGCTTCAATGATTGTGAATAGTCAGTTAGACATAGAAAAAATACTAGCTATAATCGACTCCATGCTGATTGCCGGCACCGATTCAACAGCCCGGAATCTGGCAATCCTGTTTTATAACCTAGCACAGAATCCTGATGTACAAGACATCGCTGCCAAAGAAGTCACAAGTCTCATCGGTACTCAGCACTCGGTAACACCCGCCACTTTGGCGAAGATGAACTACGTAAAATCTTGCGTGAAAGAGTCGATGAGATTAAACTTCCCCTTGTCCAATGGTACCGAGAGAACCTTAACCAGTGACACGGTACTTAGTGGTTATCTGGTGCCAAAGGGCACTAGCGTGATTATGTCCAGCAGGAGAATGTCCCTGGATCCCGCGAACTTTCCTCATCCTCTCCAATTTAAACCGGAACGGTGGATGAGGGACGGCACACTAGGACCTGACGAAACGGGAAATTCTAAGAAAGGAAGCGCTTTTGCCTGTTTGCCTTTCGGCCACGGAGCGCGAGGGTGCATTGGACGAAGATTTGCAGAGCTGGAGATGTATGTGGCTGCAGCTAAAGTCTTACAAAAGTTGCAGATCCGTGTCGATCACTCCTACTCAGGGCTAGACTCTATCTACACACCTTTCATTACACCTAAGAAGCCTATACCATTTATTTTCACAGAAAGAACGTAATCTTGTGTTTAGTTTTCGCTAAACTGTTTTTAGCAGTTAAAGAAACATTAACTCCTTTAGTATCATGTGGTGTCTAAAACAGAAGCTCAATATTTGAAATAATCGCTATGAGAAAAAACGACTCTGATTAGGGATTTAGGAATCCATATCATAGCACACCAGGCATACCCATAGGTGCCTTGTCGCCAGTAGCAAATGTCCTAACGTGTAGGTGCTGATTGTTTTCTTTGCAAACTATTTATAAACTAGTCGTTCTCTTTATCTCATATATCCCTCCTTGTCAAATCCGCTCCAGAATAGCGCATATATCGCTGGGGGGAAAAAAAAAATTTTTTTTTGGAAGAGGGGTGGTCCTCCTTTGAACAGCGTAAAGGGAATATAAAATTTACTATTGTCTGTCGAAAAGCACGGTGAAGATAAAAAACTGTTCTTGAATTTAAAGAAAATAAAAATAATGTTCACAGATAAATCTGGCTATCACCCAAAAAATAAAAAAATATACAGAAATTGAAAATGTCACAAACTTTGAATATCTAGGCTTTGTAATAAACAGCAATGGAGACTGTTTGACATAAATAAAAAGGATTGAACAGCCTTAAAAGTTTACGGTTAAGCACCACCAATGAGATCAAAATTAGAATTTTGAGAGCATGCATCTTCCCTGTCGCTACATACGGATGTGAGTCGTGGACTATCTCTCAGTCCTTAAGAAATAGAATAGGGGCTTTTAAGCTAAAGTGCTACAGAAAGATTCTCTGAATATCTTGGACAAAGAAGAGGAGAAATACTCACATCTTGAATGATCTTAACATCAAGGAAAACTGGATAATAAACAGCATCCTGTCTCGAAAGCTGAAATATTTTGGTCATATCAAGCGCCACGACGGATTGGAAAAAATTATAGCAGAAGTCATGGTACCAGGAAGGAGGGGCAGGTGCTGACAGACACGAAAATGGGCACAGGATAAAAATGACTCCTTGAGCATGAAAGTACATGAGGGGGGAGAACTGGCGAAAGACCGAGTTTCTTTCAGGCAAACTGTGATGAGAGCGACGTTCTGCAAAGGACCTGCTACATGATGAAGAGGGGGGGGGGGTTAGACCCACAGCTCACTATTGCCATCGTCTGTGATCCCCGTGCCTCCTTATAGCCCAACATAACAATATTGTCTGGAAACACACACTCACATATAAATATCGCGACCTGGCTGAATACCATTATCCTTATGTCTATTTTAGGATGAAATTGTTCGTTTTTTTAAAGCCCCACACTGGCTCTCGCCAGGGGCCGCAATATAGCCAGGCCATAAATATGGCATAATAGCTGAACGCGGTTTCTGGGATCTTTCCACGGTGATCCTCATCCAAATGGTGGCACATTGGGTCATCAGGTGTTTATCGCTTGTGTGATGTCCTAGTGGTGTAAAAACCTACCTATCTACCTGAATACCATAATACAGCGTGCCAGCCGCCTTTTTGTTTTTCAGGAGCAGACGAAGAAGAAGAAGAGGAAGAAGAAGAAGAAGAAGAAGAAGAAGAAGAAGAAGAAGAAGAAGAAGAAGAAGAAGAAGAAGAAGAAGAAGAAGAAGAAGAAGAAGAAGAAGAAGAAGAAGAAGAAGAAGTATATTTTGGAAAGAGATAGAGAAAAAAAAACACACACACACAGACACATACACACACACACAGAGATTAACAAAAAGAAACACACACACAGAGAGAGAGAGAGAGAGAGAGATAGAGAGAGAGAGAAGAGAAGAGAGAGAGATATAGAGAGAGAAAGAAAGAAAGTTGATATATTTTGGAGAAAGATACAGTCGATATAGTCTGTGGTGGGGAAAAGCCATTATCGGCTGTTTACTGTTGCCTTGTATTGAGGAACAGGAAGGGCCAGACTGTTTAATTTTCTGTCCGCACTGGGCTATGCCAGAAATCCAGAACCTTATCGGGAGTGAAGCCAACATGTGCCGAGTTGGCCAGCACAGGGAATTCCAATCGATCAGAATGGATTTCGTTGCGAGAAATCTTGAATCGGACATGACTACAAAGTGAAGTGGGTGTCTTTGTTCCTACCCATTCATGAGAAGTAACCCAAACAGTTCTGCTGCGAGCCGAGACGGAGTATGAATTATGTCCCCTGGGAGAAGGAACATTGCGTGAGTCAAGAATCTCATTCCCATATTTCGTTACCTCGCTGAAGCATAACGGCTGTCTTTATGGGAGTGAGAATGTGGGAGTGATTTGGAATGGGGAAAGGGGGAAGGACAAGAAAACTAAAGGCCTTTATTTTTAAGGGACATAACACTGGATACACACAGGTTTTGTTTTCAGCCCTTCCAAAAACACTTTTTTTTTCCACACAGAAAATTATATCTATAAACATTTTCTATTAAACCAACTTTATTAATAATACAACTAACTGTCGGACTGTGCTGTGATATTTTGTTTATGGTACAATAATGATCTTAGTCGACCTAGCCTTAAACAGGTACTGGGTAATATTCCCGGAAAGTGAAGGCGGCCGGCATGATGCTGACCACATCACCCACCAAATGCCGGTTGGTCTATAAAATATAGGTTTAGCCCTATATGCCCAAAACGCGTGAAGGAAGGGTCCTTTTTTTTAAATCTCATACCTCGAGGTCTAGACCCCTCTGGAGGTGTTTTTGTTTTTGGAACACACCAGTAAACAAAAACACTTAACCATTTAATCGCCTCTTCAGAAATGGATGACCACAAGTCGCCAACAGAAACCTTAAACACAAGCGCTAACAAGTCGTCTCAGAAAGAGCTGGAAATCAATGCTCCTTGTCAATGGAATCTGCCATAGTGTCTCATTCATTCTCACCAGCGATCGGATTGCCGACTTAGAACGTGGTAATCGTATTGACCCTGTCTCCAAGCGCTACATGTGAATAATGAATAGGAAAGCTCTTTTTGAATAGACAGGAAGGCTGTTTTCCATCGGAGAAGTAGGAGAAAATAAATAACTGGACGTTAGCTCGACATGTTTCTGTGTTTCCCACTTGGGAGGGTCTGTCCTAGTGATTGACAGAAGTGTGGCACACTCGCTTTCTTTAGAAGAAAAGAAAAAGTCGGTTCTATGTCAAGTGGCATGACTTTCCTTTTTCTTCTTCTTCTCTTCTTCTTCTCTTCTTCTTCTTCTTCTTCTTCTTCTTCTTCTTCTTCTTCTTCTTCTTCTTCTTCTTCTTCTTCTTTCTTCTTCTTCTTCTTTCTTCTTCTTTCTTCTTCTTCTTCTTCTTATTCTTCTTCTTCTTCTTCTTCTTCTTTTTCATTCTTATTCTTCTTCTTCTTTCTTCTTCTTCTTCTTTCTTCTTCTTCTTCTTCTTCTTCTTCTTCTTCTTCTTCTTCTTCTTCTCTTCTTCTTCTATTTTCTTCTTCTTCTTCTTCTTCTTCTTCTTCTCCCTCCTCCTCCTCCTCCTCCTTCTCACATTGGCACGTCCCAGAAACCATTTGCGTCCCATACTATGGCGAAGTCAAGGAAAGTGTTGCTACTGGCCAGGTCAAGAAAAGAAGAACTACTTTTGAATAGCGTTTGAATCACATTTTTTTTTTCTTTTTAAACAATTATTCATGATATCTTGCATGTGTATGTATTCTTTTTTTTTTTCTTAAGTAAATTGACAAGTTTAAAAATTATTTGTAAAATGATATGCTGAAGTATGGATTTTCCATTGTTTATTTATAACATAAATTTTTTTCTGTAATATTAATATTTTAAAGTATGCAACATTTTTTTTTTCCACTCATATGTGATTGTCCAACTTTTAAATGTTTGAAAGGGTATACACGACAAGCCACCGGTGTAATCTGACGCTTACACACATTGTGAGTAGCCCATAGTTTCGCAAGACGTATAGTCTGAATTTTTTTTTTTATGTCTCCCTCTTGTCTGCCATCTACAGTTTAGGGATTTAAAAAAAAACATGATACAACTGCCTTCTGCCAGAGCAGAATATTATTTGTTAAACGTGTGAATATTTAATGCAACATCTCACATGCCACAAAGCCTTTTTTTTCCCCAGCGCTGTTTGTCTAATTTGATCGTCAGCTTCAAAAAACAAATTTGGTGCTATTGGTTGCTCTGTTGCGGTAAATTTTGTTGGGAGAGAATTCCGATTCTCTATCAAAGCTGACAAAATCCGTAATATGCAGCCGATTTCTGACAATCGATTTCTTATTACAGAAAGATATTTTCATCTTCTTTTTGAGTCAGTGTTTGCTGTATTTTTTGTTTCAATCAGCATACTTATTTGTGCCTGCGAGTGTACGAATTTGCGAATACGCGCTTGCTTGTATGCTTGCAAATGAAGAGGAGAGAGAATGCACTAAGTATCAGTTTTAAAGGCATAAAGATGCGTGTTAGGCGGTGCCTGGAGATTGGACATTATGACACTTCTCTGGCAGAAAAGAAAAATGCATTTGGGTGAACAGAAATTTTCTGAAATATGAAAAACTTGAAGTCAAAAGATGCCTTTAAAAATGTGATTTAAAAAAGTGGCAAATATCTCAGCTTTCCTGTAAACTCGGATGGCAAAGATCGCATCTTCTGTTAACAGGAATACCCAGTTATGTCCTAACAAACAATATGGTACGAACAAAAACGAGGTGTAGACGTTAAGAGGACATGATATATTAACAGGAGATTTTATATGAGGGTCCGTAAATGTCGGTTACTGAGGTTTAGGTCAGTAAAACGGATGTTGGTAAAAGAAAACGGAAAATGCCGTTTTCAATGTATGTCAATGTATAGTGAGTGTACGTAAAAGACAATCAGAAAGCTTACTAAAGAGGTCGAAATAATAAAGCGATATGTATCGATGCAATATGTAGTGCCTACAAAATGTGAGGTTTCAGGCGAATTGATAACATCCAACGAAAGATGTATCACAAAGAACAAGAACAAGAACAGAAAACTACAAGTCAAAAATGAATTTCATAAAATGAAGAAAATCGTATGCAATATATCCATGTCATTAGAG